CATGTGCGTGGAGGAGCCCTGTGCTGCCGACCGAGGCACCCCTGCCTGGCCTGCGCCCAGCCGAGCCTCCAGCCTCCCGAGATCTTTAAATAGCTCAGGGCTCACATTCCATGTCCTTCTACGATCAGTTCAGAGCAGCCCTGCTGGGGAGGCTAAGGGATGCCAGCCACACTGCTGTCCCACAGCATGATAGAGGGGGACACCTTGCCACCTGGGGCTCCAGGCTTCTGTTCCCAGTGACCCCAGCAATGATGCCCCTTCCCAGACCATGGAGCCATGCGCTTACCCTGAGGGGACACCGAGAGAGAGTCCAAACCCAGGCCAACTGGAAGCAAGAGAAGCCAGACACGGGCCGCATGGTGTACGACTCCATGGATTTGAGACATCAGAAAGAGACAAACCCAACGAAGCAGAAAGTAGATTTGTGGTTGCCAGGGGTGCCGCATGGGTAGGGGTGGCTTTGGGGATGATGGGAATATTTTGGAACCAGATGGAGATGAAGAGCATCTCTTCCTGGTCTTGCAAGGGCAGTAGCTTGCAGACCTGACGGTGTCTCCAAGCTCTTGGTTCTGCTTTCTAGGGATTAATTTCCTTGGGGAACTGAGGCTCAGGGGAAGAGCCTAGGCCAAGATGGCCTTGCCTGTACTGCAACTGCTTCCCTGGGAACCGGCCTGGCTCATTCCTAAGAGCAGCCCTCCTGTGCATGGGTGAGATGTTGGCATTGCCACACTGACACCCAGCGCCAACAGAGCTGGGTGAGCCAGGCTAACTTCCTCATGGGATCTTCCGCTGTACAGGCTACCAGGCTGCTCTGGTCCCTGAAGGATCATGAGGGATCCATGGAGGGGCCTCTGTGGCTCTGCACACTTCTGGGACCCAAGGCAGCCCAGTGACGACAATGCAGATTCCCAGACCTGGATGTTCGCGTCTTGAGGTTCCTGAGATTAATAAGTCACACCTCTAGGGACAGCTGCAGGCCCACCATCAGGGGACAGGGGCTGGAGGAGACCTTTGTGTCTCAGGCAGACCCAGATGAGCTGTGACTGGGGCCTGGCAGGAAGACAGACCTCAGGCCAGGTGAGAAGTCGGGGTCACCTTCCCTCCGGCCGGCCGCCTCAGCCTGGGCTTCACGGAGCACGTCCGCTCTGGCTAGGAAAGTTGCTATCAGACGGGCGGTGACAGCAGCTCTCTTCTCTGGCCTGGGAAGAGGGGTTCCAGAGGAGGTACTTTTCTCTCTTCTTACAAGAAAACAATCAGGGACAGAAGAGGACACTGCCGTGCAGTGCACCAGGATGGTCAGGCTGCATCCTGCCTGCCAGCGGCCGAGTCCCGAGAAACCCTAGGAGAGCCATGAGCGGCTTCCTCCGGGCTCACTCGGCCAGGACATCATTTGTTGATTCTTGAGCCCAATCCCAGCTCATGATTTCCTCCCTGGTTGCCATGGCCCCATCCAGAAAACAGCAAACTGCTGGCCCTGGGCAGCTCATTTATTTCAAATATTCCCTGCAGCTGGAATCCAACCATGTTTGGGTGTCTGGATCAGAGCATGAACTAATTGCTCTGTCTTCGGCCCCCTCCCCAGCTCCCCAGCATAGTTTATGGTTCAGTAAAGTGCACATTCCTCATCCCGCCGAGGAGCAGGAGGACGGAGACGGGAGTCTTCCCATCTATGGCCAAGCCCCGAGTGCGGGCTACCTGCTCAAAGGCAGGGGATTAATTACAACCACATGGGCCAAGTCTGCACAGATGGTTTTATTAATACCGCTCCCTCCAGCACAGAACCCTGCCCCCCCTAGAAGGCTCCCGGCAGCACAGAGGCCCTCATGTTCCCCTTGCCTCCTCCGGCCCCCATGCTTGACCCCACTCCTCCCCGGCCACCCCTTCAAAGGAAGCCCGAGTTCCAACTGCAACCCAGACATGAACTCCAACCTAAAAATAATTCTAGACCACCTCTTCCCTCTGCCCTAGTCTGGGGCAGGCATCTGGGAGCTCCTTTCCCCAGTAGTCATCTTGATCTTCGGAGAACTTCAGCAGGAAGTTGGTTCAGGAACATGGTCCATCCTCCAAGTCCCACTGCAGGAAGTGCCCTTGCTCAAGAAGGGTGTGTTCTTAAAGCAGTTGCTGGCACAACTCACCCAGATGTTGGGCCCTGTTCTGGGAGCCTCCTGCCCTCCCGTCACCCACCTATGGGACAGGTGCAACGATGAATGCCATTTTACAGAGCCTCGTGCAAGGCCACAGAGCCAATATTTGAACCCAGGCCTGACTCAGGCATCTATGTGCTCATCCCTAGGCCAAGCCACCAACACACTGAACAAATTTCCCTTTACCCAGCAACTTTGTAAGAGAAAGAGCTGTCACAGTCACAAGCTGTAGAGTCTAACTTAGGCAAGGACACCTGGGGAGTCTGGGGAAAGTACAGATACCTGGGCCTGGCCCCAGAAATGTTGATTCTGCCCATCTCAGGTGGGGCCCTGGAAATCTGCATGTTAACAGACATCTTTCAGGAGCTCCTGAAGCCCATCTCAGAAAAGCTAGTCAGGAGGCTCTCAGAGAAAGACAGGGTACCTCGGACCAAGAATCCCAGGAGGATGAAAAATTCCCACTCCAGCCACACGGTTTTGCTGGTTCTTTGGAAACCCTCATGACACTGAGTACACTGCTTGACTCTTCACAGTATCTGTCATCCAGCCTCTAAATAAGCCAGCATTTTCTGTCCTTTCTGCCAGGGGCTCTGCCGCAGCAGTCAGCAGAGCAGGTGCACCAGGCAAAGGCTCTGTAGGTGTTTCTGCAGCCCGGATCCCAGGAACACAAAATGAACAAAGATCTGTCCGTTCTGCCAGCGCTGAGCTCGGACTCTGAGGATGCCGAACCGGCCTCTGCTCTCTGCCTGGTGAACCCACAGTCAGTGCGAGCTTTATACCCGGGCCGCCCGACCAGTGTGCAGAACTGCTTTCTATTTCATCTGCAGCTCCCCACATTGGGTGCAGGGTTCCAGACTTCCGAAAGGTGTGTTCTACGATCATCCCTCTGGGACTTTCTTCCACCACCCAAGGCCCTGGCTGGCATTCTGCTCTCTGCCAAGCGTGGCAGGGAAAATCGTGGGTAGTGTTGGGGCCTGGACCCAGGAGGGCTCGGCTGCACCTCTTTCCTGTTCCCCAAAGCACGCAGGAAGGACTCCACAGTGGTTTCGTATCTTAGCAAACATTCCTTTATTAGGTTACTGACTAGAATGAACCATCATAAAATGAAACGGGAGTGTCAAAACTGTACAAGGCTCTGGGAAGAGGGGAAAGGAAGTGGGGTAGGGTCCCAGGGAGTCAGGGGGTGGGAGGTGTGGAGAGAGCAGGTGCTTCACCAGCATCCAGGGGCAACACGTGTGCCTGTGTACGAGTGAACCTCTCTCGCGTGCAACATTCTTCACAACAGGAGTGAGGAAGACCTTCAAGAGTCCGACAGGTAAGACCCTTGCCCCCAAAGGGAAAAATAGCCCTCAAAATACGAAGGGGGTAATTTACATTCCTACCTAGTCTTGGCACCGATTTTGTGCTTTAAAAAATATATTCCATTGGAAGTTTTTTTTTTTTTTTAAGGTACCCTACAGCAGCTGCTTACAACATAATTCTTACAGATAAATATAAATGTATATATATTAAACACTTTAAACCAATAAAGTCATCTATTGTACCTGTGCAGACATGAATAGAACTTGGACTCTAAAGGGGCTGATTTCAAGATAAAAGCAATGGCAAGGCTCTGGCAGGTGCGGGCATAAGGCAAGGCGAAGTCACCAGGGACGGGCATCTCTCCCAGCAGGCTGCCTGCGTGGCCTCCTGAGCCTGGGGTGCGAGGATGACCGGAAGCTGCTTGTTCCCTGTGGGCCCCGAGCCCTGCTGAGCCGCTGAGCAGGGACCACAACTTCCACAGGGCTCGACTCCACTCCTGGTTTTCCTGTCTCTCCCTGCCCATGGCTTCCAGGGATGGAGACCCATTCTCTGTTCTCATGGTCCCCTGGACCAGGGAGCTTCTGAGGATGCCCGTGGGAAAGAAATCTCATCTAGAAAAGCAGATGTGGAAAAGTGGAGCCAACCCGCTCTCCCTCAAGGTCACAGACGGCAAAAGAGGTGCAGGCACGAGCAGTGATGTGTGGACTCAAGAGGTAAGTGGCTGTGCGTGCCCGCTTGGAGGGGTCCCCGAGACTTGTATTGCACATGGGGCTGTGCTGCCTGAGGGGCCTGCTGGGGACCTCAGCACAGAGCCCCGGACACCAACCAGGGACCTGCACAAGGACCCTGCACACAGTGGCACATGCGTCACAGGCATGGCCCAGGGAACGGGGCGACATACACGCTCCAGGGAGGTGGCAGGGGGAGGAAAGCAACAGAACACCTCGGAGAGAGGTGACTGCAACAAGGTCTCCTTTCTAAGTGGAATAAATAAATGGCCTTTGTTACTGTTAAAAGAATAAATACGGGGTGTGGGCTCCAGCAGCCGGGATGGGTGCTGGGTGCCCATTTGCTTCTGGGAGGAGCAACTTGGGGTTCCGCCTTGGTGTCCGCAGCCCAGCCCTCGTCCCCCTGGTATCTGCCCTCCAGCCCTGGCGCCTCCCGCAGCCCCCCACCCCAACCCCGGTGGCTGCGCCCATCCCCCTCCCAGAGCAGACAGGCGCTGCACGGAGGCTTTCGGAGGAGTTTATTCTCTGCCTGGTTCCAAGGAGGGGCTGAGACCGGCGGCCTGGGAAGGGAGGCACGGAGCCTGGGAGGCGTCGGTCCGGCCCAGCAGAGGCAGCCGGAGGACGGAGGGTGAGCGCCGGCCCGTGGCGGGCTCAGTGGGCGGGCACGGCTGGCGGCGGGCGGGCGTCCGCTGTCACTGGTAGAGGAGGTAAGCCTTCAGCGAGGCGGGCAGCGGCAGCGCGGGGATGGCGCCCAGGCGCTCCTTCCCCAGGGCCAGGCGCACCGAGCGCCGGCAGAGATCCATGAGCGGCAGGGGCTCGGCTGGGGAGCAGAGGACAGAGCTCAGGTCAGCGCGGCGGGGCTCGAGTGCGAAGGGCTACGCGCACCGGCCCGGGCCTGCTTTCCCAGCGCTGGGGACTGAACCCAGGGCTTCACCCGGAGCTCCGTCCCCAGTCCTTCCAACTTTAAGACAGGGTCTGGCTATATCGCTAAGTTAAGTTGCCTAGGCTGGGATCCAAGTTGTGATCTTCCTGCCTCCTACAGGCTGCTAAATACACACGAAACACTTTAATATACAAAGCGCTGGGATTACAGGCAGGTGCCACCATGCCTGGCTTCATATGGAGTTGAATAAATAAATACTTAGCGAATCTGACTTTAACCTAACTGAATAACCCAGAGAAGCTGCTCTGGTGGGGCTCCTCTGTAGGCCATGTGCCAACGCGGATGACAGTTAGGAGCAATGAATGACAGTCACAGAGAAGCCACGATCACCATCGTCCTTAGTTTATGACAGCGGGATGTGACAGAGTTTAAATAACTGGTCCACAGCTGCCCTGCTGGAGGAGATGGAGCTCGGACTTGAACCCAGGGCCTCCCTGTCTGGGCAAGCAGCACCCTCAGTGTGCATCGCTGTGGGGCCAGGGAAGCCCTTGTGCTCTCAGGTGCCTACAGCAGAGGCCCAGGAACCTGGAAATGCCAGCCCTGCTGCGGCCAACACCCCGAGGGCAGCCCGGGCCGCCTGCCCACCCTGTCCAGGCTCCCAGATAGGGACCACATGGCAGAGTGGCCTCAGGCATCAAATGAAAGAGCGGCTTCCAGCTCACCCTTGGAGGCCTTCTCTGTCCTGTCCCCAGATGGTCCAGCCCTCCCTCCCTACAAAGGGGGCCCTGGCCAGCCGGTACCTTTGATCCCCATGCAGGAGTCTGAAGTCACTCCCTGCCAGGCTACTGAGTCCCCAGGAAGGTCTCCGCACTCACTGCTTCTGGCCGGGGGTGTGGGCTTTGCATCCAGCTCCACCCACAAACCTCGTGTCCACCGCCATTCCACCAGGTGGGGGGGACCTGGCCTGTAGACCTGGGCTCTGCCTCCATGCCCACATCCTGGAGGCTAAGATGCTGGGCATTTAAATGACTGTTCTGAATGAGAGAGAGGGTGCTCTGAAGTAAATCAGGTGCCATTGTGGGGCAGAAGGTTGTGGAACCAGAAAAGCCCGTGTGCCGACTTTGGCGGTTCTGTGAGAAATGGCTGTCTGGAGGCTGCTTCAGAGCAGCAGGGCGGGTGACCAGGCTTCCCAGAGCCCAGGTGGTCAGAGGTGCAGGAAGGAGCGACCATCGGCACCAGGACAGCATCTTGGGAGTCGAAGGCTCCAAGCCTTCCCTGAAGCCCAGAGCATGGCTACGCTCGCCACACTTCAGTGCAAGATGCAGAGCGGGACTTTTAAGTCCAGAATGGCAGGGGAAATGCTGCCTTGGTGGGAAGCGGTGGAGGCTCGGGGTGGGGAGGACCTCGAGGTCAGGGATGTCCCCAGAGCAGAGGCCTCTTCCTCCTGCAGCTCCAGGCCCTGTCTCTCTACCCCTGCCCCCCGGAAGACACCGAGGGGCTACGGCCTCAGCACAGAGGAGAGTGGCCTGTGGTCAGCGCAGGCTGGACAACAGGGAGGTCACATAGGGACACTCTGGGAACTCGGGTCTTTGCTTGGCCCGGGACGGGGGAAGGACTAGAGCCTGCCTGCCTGACCTGCAGGCGATGGACCATGCCGGGGAGATCCGGGGAGATCCGGGCAGGCCGTCCATGCCAGGTTTCCCTGAGGTCAGTGGGGCCGGGGTGGTTTCCTAGATGTCCCAAGGAGCAGGGCACCTCCAAGATAGCCACAGTTGGCCCAGACACCAAGGTGACACCAGTGGCCAGAGCTAGCTGGGGCTTCTGCCCATCTCACCGTGACATCCTGCCTTCCTCATTTGCCTTGGAAAGCCAAGCACTGTCTCGGAGAGCGGCCTCGGGGGGCACCAACCCCACCCCACCAGTGCCGACCACCCACAGGGATGCTGTCGGGGAAGGAGCGCCGGACAGTGTGCCACACGGCCCAGGTGGCAGCACAGGGGGAGGACAGCCTGTGAGCCCCACTGTGTCCACATCCACAGGGGCTGGGGTGCCCCCCAACGCGTGAGCACCCGCAGTCTCGGGATGTGACCCTGTGTGGGCAGAGATGTAATTTTTGCAGGTGAAACCAGTTACGATGAGGTCATGCTGGATGACCACGGCCTAAATTCACTAGAGAAGACACAGAGATACACACTCACACTGGGAGCAGGCCAGGTGGGAACAGAGGTGGGAGGGAGGGACATAGATTCAAGCCAGGGATGCCCAGGCTGCCAGCGGCCAGCAGGAGAAGAGTCGGGAACCAGGTGGGAGCGGTTTCTCCCGCAGCGCCTCGGAGGGAGCTGGGCCTGCTGACAACTTGGTTTCTGACCTCTGGCCTCTCGCTGTGACAGCATGTGTTCTGCTGGGTCATGGGCACGGCCCGGATCATGGTAATTTGTTATGGCAGCCCCGGGAAATGAATGACCACCCCCTGCTTCCTCCACCACGCTGTGATCTCACCCCACCCCAGTGACTCCTGGTGAGGTCACCGATGGCCTTCTGGCCAAAGCAGCTGTCCATGAACCTGAGCTGTCATTACTGTGTCTTTCCTGAAGCTCTTTCTCCAGTCCACCACCATGCCTCGGGTCCCTTCCAGCCACATGGCTGCTCCTCCTCTGGCCCCCCGCCCCCAGGCCTCTGACCTCCAACAGGGCCCAACCCACTCTCTGGGTGCCCCGGCTCATCCAGGGGCACAGCTTTAAATGCCACCCATGTGTGAGGACTGCCTATCCCCCACCCACACAGGATGACACCTGGCGCTACCCAGACACGCCCCTTTCTCGCCTCACCTACAACTGTCATGGTGGTCACTCGCGCCCCTACTGTGCATTTCTACACAGCAGCCAGGGACCCTTCTAAGACGCAAGCCACCCCCTCACTAAAGCCCTGAGGTGTCCAGCACCGGCATCTCCCCCGCCATGGGCAGAGGACCACATGCCATGCTCAGCATCCCAGGGACTGGCTGCATCCAGGCTCCCGTCTGGACCCTCCAAAGTCAGCCATGTCTGATCAGGGCTGGGGAAGACAGGATGAAGGGGCCCTGGCATGGCCTGGCCTTCTGATTAGGGTGGAGAGGAAGGGGTCTTCGTTGACCGTGTCCTGATGTGATACTTTGAAGTCTTCATCCAGATTCCAGCTCACAGACATGGTTCCCAGCAAACTATTTCCATCCTCATAAGCCTCCCAACCCCTTCAGGATTTTCCAAACAAGAAGTCACAAAAGCTCCCAACCTCCCCTGGGATGCAGAGTTAAGCAGTGTCACCCATGCACAGGACACATGTCTGGGCCTCGGGATGCAGCAGCAGAACCTGCTGGCTCACCGAGGGCAAACAGGCCCAGACCCCTCCCGGGAGCTGGGAGGCAGGAACAGAGTGGCTGTGTGAACTCCCAGAGCTCATGAGAGTCCCTCGGTGGCCAGGTGAGGATGCTCCCCTCGTCTGCCTTCACCTCCCTGGCTCCAGCACTGCTCTGGTGGGAGGAAGGGGACATGCTGAGCCGGGGCTGGCCGAGATCCTGGGTCCCACCATGTCCATCCCCACTGGGGCAAACATGGCTGTGCCACCTCTGCCAGGAGCACCACGACCAGTGAAAGCCAGAATGCAGGACTGGGAGAAAGGAGCGCCAAGGCTTCCAAAGTTTCCGCATGCCTGGGTGCTCCAGGATGTTCCCAAGGAGGAGGGAGGACCTGCGGATCGCCAGCTTTGAGACAGCTGTGCTCTTGGCCCCAGCAGGGTCCTTGCCTACCACTCGCCTGGCCTTCGGGGTGGGGTTAGGACTTGAGGTGCCAGGCCAGGCCTGTCTTTAAAGACAGTCAGCCACAGGTGGACGAAGCTTCCCCTTCCTGAGCTGGAATCTGCAGATGGGGAAGGGACACACCCAGGCAGAAGCTCCTGGGAGCAGGGCCCATCGAGGGGTGGCGGTCTTGGATGCCAGGCCCCCTTGCTGGCATGGATACCAGCTGGGCACAGCAGAGCCTCCCCCCCACCAGCATAGAGCACCGCACAGGATGTCTGCACACGGGGGTCTGTGAAGGTCTACTCCCCTTTCCAGAGGGACACTCGGAAATCACCGCAGATGCATCCTGGTTCTCAGCCACTGGCTCCTTCCCGCACTGTCCCCTGACATCAGGACTGAACAACCCCACTTGGGACCATGTTCCAGAGGAGCCTCTGCCACCAGGAAAAAGACCCAAAATCTCTCTAGTGAGTGCAACCAGTCACTGGTTTTCACTTATCTGAGAGGCCCTAGGCTGCAAACCTCAACTCAATAACAGACTGGCTACTGAGCTAGAATTTGGTCAACTGCAGATCAAACTGGGAAGGAGGTTCATCAGAGATAAGGGTCACTCAGTTATTCACTCCTCCATTCATTCATCCATCATCCCTCTATCATGCATCCACTCAACCATCCATCATCTGCTTATCTATCCAACCCCTCATTCCATCCATCCATCCATCCATTCATCCATCATCATCCATCCATCCACCCATTTATCATTTATCTATCCATTAGCCATTCATCCATTATTCATCCACCCATCATTTATCTATCCATCCATCCATCCATCAGCCCATCCATTACCCACCCCCCATTCTCACCCATCATCCATCTAGCCATCTTCCTATCCATCATCCATTCATCTACGAGTCACTGCTAGATAATCTACTTTACAACATTTTAAAAGCTGGGCCTGGAGCTGCAGGCCTATAGTCCCAGCACTCAGGAAGATCACTGCAAGCTGAAAGCCAACCTGAGCTAGAGCTACACAGTGAGTCCAAAACCAGCCTAAACTATACAGCGAGACCCTGTCTCAAAAAAAATTTACATCTAACAACTGCATAAACCTCTGACCCAAGCCCAGCCAGGACCTTGGGGACATAGGAAGGGCACCGCCTCGGACATTGAGGGTAACACTTACGATCAAGTCCATTCAAGTAGCGCATGCGGATCTCACAGTGGCCCCAGACGGCACTCACTACAGGATACAGTTTTTTGCCCTTGAGTCCCCGAAAAGCCACTCCCATGTACTGTCCATCCACAATGAAGCTCAGGGTCCCGTCATCCATGTCCAGGGCCACGAGGAAAGAGTCGGGGACGATGAACGTCTCATCTGGCTCCAGAAAGGCTGGGTACGTTTTGCTTGGCTGGTTCTTCCCATCATGGTAGAGCCGGTTGCGCCCCAAGTCCCAGCCCCAGGACTCGTGGTTATTCCCCACGAGGGTTGTGTACCCAACCGAGTGCAGTGGGGCGTCAGCTGTGGCCACCCCCACCACAGCATGCGTGCCCCGCTGTCGCATGGCCCATGTGATCTGCCACACATGCAGCCCTCTGGTGTACCCGACTTTGCCCCTGATGGCGTCCGTGCTCTGGGCCACCGGATGCCGGTGAAAGATCAGCTTGTCGTCCTCCTTGACAAAGACGTTGAGCGAGCGGTCGTTGTTGTTCCAAGAGTGCAGCAGCTGGATGTCGTGGGACACAGGCGGCATGTCGAGCAGCAGGTCCAGCCGTGTGGGCTTGCAGTAATCCAGGCCCTGGAGCTCCTGCTTTAGGGGCCGGTAGGTGGCGTCCTGCATGTCCACAGTCTTGATCCCTCCAGTGACCTTCTGACCCATGGTGGCCTCTGGTTTCACCTGCTCGAGGACTCCCAAGGCAAACTCATCAACCTCAGGGTAGATGGGATTCCTGGGAAGCTTCTAGGAGAACTCTGCACGCCCAGGAGCGCCCAGGGTGCCTGGTGGGGGAGAGAGAAACAGGAGGTCGGTGAGCAGGGCTACAGGGCAGGGGAAACAGAGTTAGCCAGGAGCACAGGGTGCAGCATGTCCCAGCAGCCTGGAGCCCCAGATCCCTCGAACCTGAGATGCCCAGGCAGCCTGGGGTCCTGGTGCAGAATGCAATGCCTCGTCTCCGAGGCCACACTGCTGCTGTGCATGTCTGGTCAGCTTGGGGCGCTCGGCGGAGGCCCACAGGTACCCAGTCAGGGTCACCCAGGGCAGAAGGCCAAGGCGGCATAGAAGCCAGAGTCAGCCACGACGTACGGGCACCTTCTTGGTCAAGGTGAAGCCTGCACGTGACCCAGGCCTGGCTGCATAGAGGGGAAGGTGGAGCCCTCAGATCCCGGCCCTGCCTCCCTTTCCAGCACAGCCGCCTTGGACAATCACACTGTCATTCATTCTTGGGACGGAACTGGGGTCTGTGGGTGCCCTTGTAGGGAAGGGCCCACGAGCCTCCTGGATGCCCTAAGTCTACAGCAACTGCCTCACAGGCCCTTGTCCCACCCAGGGTGGAGTCCTGGTACAAACGGGCACAGGGGCTCTCTCCCCATCCCACGTGCTCTGGCCCAACACCGAGATGACCAATGGCCGTTTTGCCCCCACACCATCAACTAGAGCCCTCTGCGGAGGAGGTCCAACCACACGGTGCCCGTCCCTCTCTGGCTCACTGACCCATAGATTCTTAAGGGAGTGGGGACACAGAGCCAGAGGGAGACACCAGGCTCTCCGCACCCCACCCTGGAGTCCAGCCTTGGAGAAAGGAGATATCACGCCCTTTGGGCTCCTGGGCTTCACTCAGAGCAAGGAGTCTTTCTGCCATCGGATCCTCCTTGGCCTCCGGAAGGGACACTTGGCTGCTGGGCCTAGGGGGCAGGATCTCCTGGACAAGGGCAGGGCAGGCTCCTGGGTAAATAATGTAACAAGGTGCCTGAGAAAGGTGATGAAGAGAACGTGAAACATGCCAGCATAGGTTGCCAGGCAGGGACATCTGGGGACCACTGAGCACTGGGCTTAGGGTAAGGCTGGGGTCCCCCTCCAGCACCCTGGGGTGACTCCCTTGCAAGGGCACCTGCAGCCATTCTGCCACCCGAGTCACCTCCTGGGTGGGCAATCACCACGACAACACTAGGGTCACTCCTGATTTGTTACCCCCCACAGTGTGTCTAGTAAAGACGCTTCTTTCTTGTCACCTGTCACTTTCCCGCTGTGCATGCCTAGCCACCTCTGCGCTGTAAAGAACAGAGAAGCCATGCATTCAGTCTCCCTATGTCCATCCTTAATGACAGGCCACTTCTGGGGACCCTGACTCGCCACCCTCCACTGCCCCAGGACAGCAGCCTGGGGTACATCCTGGGCTCCCTCCTGGGCAGGGCAATCATGGCTTCAGTACTAGGCTTCGCCCTTAGCTTTCCTGAGTTCATCTGTAACGTGTGTGTCACCTGTGTGTCACACGCTCACCTAAGACTCCAAGGAGACAACTTCCCAGGGAGGGCTTGGAACAGCGGTGATTTGTTTTTGTTTTTACACCCTAGACTGCTCCGAGCACTGAGAGAGAGAGTACTGTTAACCACACTTCCAGGTCTCCACACCTGGCCCAACAGATGCCTTTTGGCCACAACCCAGGTGCCTGGAATGCTGGGCGTGGTCAGATCAAGGCCATGGTCAGTTCTAAACCAGGGCAACACACTTCTTCTGGGAATGGCCGCATAGTAAATATTTTAGGCTTGGACTCCACACATAAATATATGGGCGCGGCTGTGTTCCAATGAAGCTGTAAGAAAGCCGACAGTGGGCTCTGCTGACTGTTAACTGTGTGTGAAACCACTGACCCCCCAAAACACCTGGACACGGAGCTCAGGATAGGAAGGGCTGCACCGGCCATGGTGGGGACACAGGTGGCCTTGAAAGCTCCTGCTGTCACGGGGCCACTGCAGGCTCCACTGGGCCAAGTGGGAGTCTAGCTGTGGACACCAGACCGCTGGCAGGAAGTTGGCTCTGGGGTCACCCCCATTTCTTGCTATCATGGGAAACAAATTCAGAAGCCCAGGCTTCCCAGGGCCTAGAGGTACCATGTGAGTGTCAAGGCCTGGGGTCACAGAGCAAGTACATGACAAGTGCCCAAGAGCCAGATGACTCAGCCATGTCCCCACCTGGGAAAAGCCAAGCCACAGAAGGCATGAGGGGTGTGGCTATGCATTGTCCTGCAGGGCTAGCGCAGGAGAACAGGGGGCAGATGCCTGCCAGTCCCATGCATGCCTACACACACACACACACACACACACACGCACACGCATTTGCACATGTACACACTCATGTGCATGGACACATGCCTGTGCACACGTCATACACCAAGGTAATGGCAGCAGTGGCCACCGAGGCTGACCTCGGCCCACAGGACTCTGGCTGGTGGCTCCTGCTTTTCATTTCCTTAGTGCCAAGTTTTCATTCCCAGGAAGCCACTCTAAGTCAGCTGCTGTGTCCCCTGGAGAGCCCCTGCCCACTCCTCCTCCTGGCCACTCAAGCCCACCCCTAGACCATCACATTCCTGCCCTGGACCTCTCTTGCCCCCACAGGAATTCTGGCAGCCCCAAATAATGGACAGTTCTCTTGTGCTCCGTCCCCAGGGCACCCAGCTGGCTGTCACACATGGGGTTCCAGTGTCTGATGCTTTCCAAAGGCCAAGGTGCCCCAGAGGAGCAGGGCTAGGGTTGGGGTCAGCCAAGCCCCTCCTCCTTCCCACTGTGCCCTGACCCAGCCTGGCGCAGCAGTGGCCCCTGCCTGCCCTACACAGCTGGGGATGAGAAGCGGGCTGGTCCCCAGCGTCAGTGCCACGCACAGGGTGGGAGCTTCCAGTCTCCTGGACTGGAGGGCCGAGTAAAGGAGCTCAGACTGGACGTGGGCACACACTCACACAAGCGCACGCACGCACGCACGCATGCAAGCACGCACACGCACTTTGACAGACTGCATTCACTTAGCACAGACTGAGCAAGATCCAAAGCACAGGCAAGGGGCCTCCTCATCCCCCCCAGACCACACCAAGCCTGTGGTTTGGCCCCAGGCAGCCCTGTCCCCCGTGGGAGGAGCCCCACTCCCTACCACTGACACACAGAGACCCTGGGTCACGAGGCTGTTATGGCTCACGCCTGCCTCTGCCTCGGGAGGGAGTGGCCTGGGGCTTCAAGAACCCACCAGAAATCCGGTCACTGCCTGCACCCTGGGGAGAGGGCTTCCCAGAGCTCGTGTCCCCCTGTGGCAGCAGAAGGTATCTGTGGTGGCCTTGGGGCAGGATCCAGGGGAGAGTGCACAGGGGGCCTGGAGTCAACAGAAAGGACATGGGGTGGCCCGACAGGACAGTCCTCTTGGCATGGGGGAGGCACGCAGCAGTGTTCGCTCCCGCCCCCCACACCACTCGTTCAGGGCTCTGGTCTGAAAGCCCCACCCCATCCTGCACAGGGCCCACAGCATGGACCATGCAGGCCTGGGGGGATGCGGAGGGCCCGGGACACACCCATGCCACGCAGGATGTCCCCCAAGGCTGTCAACACTTTAAAGAGCAAACTGCACGACCGTTCACAGAGCAGAAGCCCAGCTCTGACAATGCAGGAGCTAAGGACTCTCACCTTCTTCTGAGGCTGAGCCTGGGGCTGGGGTGGGAGGGGAGATGTATGCGCTTTGAACACTTTTTGAATTGAAAAAAATATTTTAGGTGCATATATTACTTCATGAAGTGGTTTTCACTGAGAGAATCAAAGGGCTGGGGATTTAGCTCAGTGGTTCCACCACCTGCCCCGAAAGCGCAAGGTCCCAAGTTCGATCCCTGGTACCAAAAAAATACAAAAAGGGAATCAGAGACTGAAAAGCACTCATGGAACTCATTGTATCCCAAGAACAAGTTACTCCCAGAGTGACCCCAGCCTCTCCTCCTGGGCCATTCACCAAGCATGCACGGGGCGGATGTCACACATGGTGTCCTCTGTTTGTCCTCTGTTACCCACGGAGACCACGTCACCGGTCCACGGTGGGCAGAGGGAAGCTCTGTGCGGCCCAAACAGGAACATCATTCCGTAATGATTTTTTCTAAGACTCCCAGTGGCACCGTTTTTAAATCACGAACCTGTCCACTCACCTGCCCACGCGCCAAAGCCCAGCTGCTCCATGCTGCCACCCTCCAGGCAGCCACACCTCGGCCTACAGCAACCTAGACCAGAGGCAGGATGAGGACCTTGGGGAAGCCTGGAGGGGCTGGACGGCCACCTGCCTGGATCCCGTGCTGCGCCTCAGTGACAGCCACAACCCCGTGTGCCTTCCCTGGCCCCAGCGTGCTTTCTGCTTGGCCGGCCCAGCCACCTCTGCTGCAATAGCCTTTCAGTTCTGTTGTTTCTATCCCTCTTGGGGACGTTGCCAAGGTGACGGGGATCAACGGCTGGAAGCACACCCGCCTCCCAGGGCTCGGACCCCCCTTAGCGCACCCGACCCCAGAACAGTGAAACCATTGTTTTTGACCCAGCACGGGAACCTGAGGTTGAGGATGTGGAACAAAGTGACCTATATAAAGCCTCCTTTCACCTGAAGATCAAACACAGCCTCCCCACTCTGCCTCCTGCTCCACACGGCCATGGTTGCAACCCAGGATTTTGCAACAGAAACATGCCCCAGCAGTCTGTTATTAAATCAGCCAAGCCTGCTGCCTGGCTGGACAGCACCCGCCCACTGTCCCGAGTGCTGCTGGCTAATGACGGTTCCTGGTCTCTCCGCCCCTGGGGCCCAGGAGCAGGAATTGCACTTGGTGGTGCAGGTCCCGAATTCGATCCCCAGTACCACAGAAAAAGAAATCACACAGAGCCAACGAAGAGGATTGGACCCTTCTGGAAAGTTCTGACAAGTGATTTTGGAGAGAAAATCCCACACCGTCCAGAGCTCTGCCTTTGACCTCAAAAAACCAAAAACGCACCTGCCA